TTCACCCCAGGGCATCAGCCACGTCTGCAACCGAACGAGATCGATCAAGTTCTCACCGACCGCGCCGCCGAGGTTCATGAAAGCGTACTGCAGACCGAAGGCGAAGCCACGGACCCGCCTCTTCGTTAATTTCTTAATGGCTACCATATAGAGTGGATCACATACGCCCTCAGCTAGCGGCCCTAAGCCGCACAATACGATTCTGAGTACAATTTCCGAATGCGTAAAGACAAGAAGGCCCCGGGACAAGACACCCAAGCTGGTGGCTGTGATTGCCACGGCTCGGATGCCGAAGCGGTCCACCGCAAGGCTTCCCACAAACCCCCAAACCGTATGCAGAAGGCCCCAGATACCATACAGATTGCCAGCTTGAATGTCGCTGATGCCGTAGTCATCAGTCGCGAAGGACGTCAGCACTGTGGCCAAGACAAAACCCGTCAGCCCCCTTGGGGGCGCAAGGCCGTGAAAGTCCACAGTGGACCGTCGTCTTGCTGGTCGTCCCGTCTCTCGTTGCCCATCTCTGGTACTCTCCAGTCCCGTGTCCTTTCCACCATCTACTGGGGGGCACGCGCCGCCTGAGGATGGGGTCACTCAGCCTCCTGGCCTCTCTGGGTTGCCCCAGGGATTCTTATGGGGACGCCGCCAGACGGCCAAGAGGGCCCGGGAGGCCTCCAGTGCACGAAGAGGGCCCGAAAGAGAGCCCCAAGAGCCCAAGATGGCTTCAAGGCGGCCACGAGTCAGTCCAAAAGAGACACAAGAACACCCAACATGGCAAAACCTGAGGCGTTCAGACGTGTTCCGTTGCTCGCCTGCCCTCCTCACAAGATGGCATCAAGACGGCCCCGAGAGGCCACCAACATCGCCCAAGATGGGCCCCAATAAACCCCAAGATGGCATCCAGAAGTGCCTAGACAGCGCTAGTCAACGTACGCTGCCTAAGATAACTCCAAAGGTGCCATCTGGAGGTCCCAAGATGTCCCGGAGAGACTCTTAGATGGTCCAACGAAGCCCCAAGAAAGATCCAGGGTGACCCCAAAATCTCCCCAAGATGGCGCAGCCGTTCAGATATTTGAAGGAATTGAAGAAAACGATCATAAGGACCATCCACAGCTGAGCTGACAGCTCCTTGAGTTGCACGGTCATTCCACAAAATGGACACTGGCGGATAGTGGCCAGGGGGTGATTTGCACAACCGTAATGGCTTGAACAACACAGCTTGAAGTCGAGCTGGTAATGCCAGCTGGCGGCGATGACGCTTTCGTAAGAGGCCGCTGCGTTTCAGCGCAATTGGGCGACAGAGTGTATGCTATTAGCGGATCTTGCCTTCGTGCGCTCCTGCCGCGGTCGGTTGCACGCCCCCCCTCACGACCGCGGCGCAGTCAGAGCTGGGAAGAGTAGCGAGTCTCGAAAGGCATCGCACGCGATTTGCACCGACGTGCACGACGCACACTGCAGACACTCCGCCGCACGACACTGCCCGACAGGGCTGCACACGTGGCCCACTCCAAAAATCTGCGGCGGGACCCCCGCGATGACCGCCTCCTGAGGTGTCCACCTGTGCACCCGCCTCCGCCGACGGAACCCCCCATGGGACACTGATCCTCCTCCTCCTTTTCCTCCTCCTCCTCCTCCTCCTGACTCCTCCTCCTCCTCCTCCTCCTCCTCCTCCTCCTCCTCCTCCTCCTCCTCCTCCTCCTCCTCCTCCCTCTGACTCCTCTGACTCCTCTGACTCCTCTGGCTCCTCTGACTCCTCTGACTCCTCCTCCTCCCCCTCCTCCTCCTCCTCCTCCTCCTCCTCCTCCTCCTCCTCCTCCTCCTCCTCGGGGGTTCGACTGTCCTTGGGCCCTCCTGGTGCCTCTCCTTCGATCGCCCCGAGGGCCTCTGCGGCTCTCCCCTGGGACCGCCTGAGGGTGACGAGACGCACAGTGGTGCGATGCAGCTGGAAGGTGTCTGGCACGGGCAGCTCCAGAAATCGGGGGCGCGCAAACATGGAAGGCCACTAGCTTTAACCGGGATGCCACAGGGGTGCAATCTCGAAGGAAATCCCGGTGGCCTTCGGCCCGACCCGCCAGCCACCTGGAAGGCCGCGTCACGCCCACGGGAGCCCGCCATGCCCAGAAAGCCCGCATCCGGCACAGCCACGGTGGCGCAAGGTGGCTCCCGAGACAGCTCGGGGGCGCGCAAACATGGATTAGCGGTCCATGGATTTGGCGCGCGGTCGCCAAATCCATGGATCGGGGGAGGTGCCCTCCCCAAAATGCGGCCAGTGCCGCCTCCTTCGGCGGCAGAGATCTGCGATTTCCCACGGGGACGGGACCCGTCGCTGATCCACGCCCCCTTGATCCATGCTTGCGATCGCCTGAGAAAGGGGCCTCGTCGTCGAGGAGTCGAAGAATTGACTCCTTGCCCCCGGAACAGGCCTGCAGAGAGCCCGCGGAAACGCGGGTGGCCCAGTGCAGCCAGAGTTGTGCCGCAAGGACCCTGCAGGGTTCGTCTCGATCCGACCGATCCGATGCGGTATCGATGTCCCGGCGGCCCGACTGCGCCACGCTGCAGCATCGTTGAGCTGTTTCCCAGACGGCCCCAGGTTCTCTCGAGCTTCTTCGGGAGAGCCCAGTGGAACCACCCCAGACCTGCGACACCGTGATTGCTTCAACACGGGGCCCCCAGAGGTATCGCCCGCTTCCTCTGGGCCCGTTCTTTGTCGCAGGCACTTGTTTCCCCAATGAGGGCTCGGGCCGAGGTCCTTCAGTAGAAGGGACTTTGGCCCTAGACCACAGGGTTAGGTCGGGCACGTCCCCCTACAGGCGGACTTGGATGAAAAATACAAGACAGTCAAAAAATGCAAAAAACATAAAAATCGTCCCCTGACTATTTCTCTCCTATGTTTGAACATGAATTCCTTCCTGTAGAGGGACAGGCCCGACTTCATGCGCGGAGCACGTGTTTCGATTTAGGACTCATTATCTCGTGCGCGTGGCACGTCTCCCTTCCGGGTACAGAGCTCCAGCACTGGGATCTCATTTAGTCGGCGGGCCTTTGGCATTTGACCAGAGGTGTGCAAAGCAGGACGCATCGGCTTCTTCATATGGCGGATGAGGGCCGGCCGTTTGACTGCTTCAGTGGCACGCGGGCGTTGAAACAGTATGGAATAAGGCATGCAGCATGCGCTCGGCGCGTGCAGATTTGGTGCGTGTGTTCATGGGTGTCAAAGGGAAATATCCAGCATGCACTTGACCCGTGTTTCCGCGAGCAACTTGGAGGCCAGGGGCAGTATGCAACGTTCGAGGGGCACGTACTTCGGCGCACATGTTGCTCTCACTTGCATATGGCACGTCTGTTCCCTCGGTAAGAGCTCCAGCCTAGTGTTATCTTTGTGCGTAGTTGTTAAGTGTCTTCACCTGCGTAGGGCGCAAGGGGTGTCCAACATGCGCCTTGCATACCTTTCCACGTGCAAGCTGGAAGCCACGGGGGGGCATCCAACATGAGTGCGGCAGGCGGTTTGACGTATAATTTGCTCAAGTACCATACATGTATATGCTCCACCTGTGTGGGCGCCAACGGGGGGTATCCAACATGCTCCCTGCACCCACGCGCAAATTGGAGGTCAGAGTGTTATACAACATGTGAGTAGCATCTGTTTTGACGTGCGAATTGCTCTCATGTGTACCTCGCGCAAGTTGATTGTCACCTGTGTGGACGCCAAGGGGGTGCAACCAACATGCGCCTGGCACGTCCTTCCAACGGGCATCCAGCATCCGGCATGCGCGGGACAAATGTTAAAACATACTTGCTCCCAGGTGCACCGTACACGTCTCGCTTCAAGCTGTCTACCCCGCCCTACGGGCGGGGTATCCAACATGCGCATGGCACGTCTTCGGGACCCAAGAAGCCAAAGGGCGTGGGGCAGGGGAAAGGGAAGAGGCAAGGCTGAAGGGGATACGCAGAACGTCAACACTTTGAAAGAACGGCGAGTGGACTTCGCAGACAAAGCAAACGTACGTGTTCTCGATCCTCGCAGCTAAGCACCTCCTCCCTTCCAGTCCCAATGTCTGTCGCGAGTTCCTCCATCCTCCTCCACCACTACCTCCTCCTCCTCCTCCTCCTCCTCCTCCTCCTCCTCCTCCTCCTCCTGCTCCTCCGCATCCTCCTCATATTTCCGATTCATGATTCACCTCCCCCTACTTCCCACCGACACCTTTTCCTCATACATAACTCCTGCCTGTCCTACCCCCAGACGTGTCGATAGGGCGGGCAGGGCGTTCCGCCTGAGACTTCCTCACCGCTTCTGGTCCTGAGCCTTGAAAATCGCAACCGCTCCAAGAGTGGAGGGCGGGTCGTTTTCAAGAACCAAGTGATCGCCTTAGCGTCTCGCGCACTGGCATTTAACAAAAAACATCAGCTTCAAGATGGATGGGGGGTCGTTTTCAAAATGGCTTTCTCGCCTGAGCATCGCGAACATTCGTCTTATAATGTTGCAACAGCGCCAAGGATGGAGGGCGGGTCGTTTTCAAAATCCGCCGGCCCCCTTGTGGGGCCACCAGGCTGCGAGGCGCGTGATTCGCAGTTTCCTGTACCAGTTGTAGTTTCTAGTTTCCAGTGTTACAGTTCTGCTTCTTGCTGGTTACTGTAACTAGTTGACTTCTTGCTGGTTACTGTAACTAGTTGATTGACCGCGCGAGGGGGGGGAGGCCCAAACGGATTTTTTAGCACCCCCTGGGCGCGTTGTCTGAATTGCTGGGGGGGCTCGAAATCGACACCCCTCACGCAGATCCGCGGGGTCAGGGTCCAAAAACACAGGGGATTTGCCACATTTCTGAAATTCGGTGCCACCCCTCACGCAGATCCGCGGGTCAGGGTCCAAAAACACAGGGGATTTGCCACATTTCTGAAATTCGGTGCCACCCCTCACGCAGATCCGCGGGGTCAGGGTCCAAAAACACAGGGGATTTGCCACATTTCTGAAATTCGGTGCCACCCCTCACGCAGATCCGCGGGGTCAGGGTCCAAAAACACAGGGGATTTGCCACATTTCTGAAATTCGGTGCCACCCCTCACGCAGATCCGCGGGGTCAGGGTCCAAAAACACAGGGGATTTGCCACATTTCTGAAATTCGGTGCCACCCCTCACGCAGATCCGCGGGGTCAGGGTCCAAAAACACAGGGATTTGCCACATTTCTGAAATTCGGTGCCACCCCTCACGCAGATCCGCGGGGTCAGGGTCCAAAAACACAGGGATTTGCCACATTTCTGAAATTCGGTGCCACCCCTCACGCAGATCCGCGGGGTCAGGGTCCAAAAACACATGGGATTTGCCACATTTCTGAAATTCGGTGCCACCCCTCACGCAGATCCGCGGGGTCAGGGTCCAAAAACACATGGGATTTGCCACATTTCTGAAATTCGGTGCCACCCCTCACGCAGATCCGCGGGGTCAGGGTCCAAAAACACATGGGATTTGCCACATTTCTGAAATTCGGTGCCACCCCTCACGCAGATCCGCGGGGTCAGGGTCCAAAAACACAGGGGATTTGCCACATTTCTGAAATTCGGTGCCACCCCTCACGCACATCCATCGCAAGGCGTGGTAACCCAAACTGCGAGTACTCCCTCGGCCCTTTAATCCCAAGGTGTGGTAACCAAGCTCGTAAACCATACACGTCTTACCAATCGCCCTGTGTGGTAACCCCTCTTGTGATCAGTTGGTTTTGCCGATTGCGAATCGGCCTCGCATGAAGTTCCGATACTGCTGCACGACAGCGCCAAAGCCTCATGACTTAGCTCTTCCATGGCCCATTCTCCGAGAGAGGGGGCCGGCGGCAGGGGGCAAAGCCCTTACGGATGAAGTTATCGCTGAAGCGCCTCGCACATTCGTCTTACAAGTTTACAACACCTCCCAAGAAAGAGCGGGAGCCCGTTTCAAAATGGATGTTTCGCCAAAGCAGCGCGCACATTCGTCTTCAGTTAGGAACAGTTACAAGGAAGGAGGGGACGTTCTGCACCTGGAGCTCTCGCCGACGCGCCGCGCAGACTCGTTTTGAAAGCTTGCAGCAGTTAGGGGGAGTGTGGGCGGTTTATTTCAACATGGGATTTTCGCGAGAAAACCCTGCTAACATTTCACGACCTGAAGAAAAAGAGGTGCAAAAGAAACACGAATGAAGGGCGGTTCCGTTTCGAACTTGTAAGTTCGCTTGAGACTTCTGTCAAAGCTTGAGAAGACTTGAACAAATGGTACAGCTGAATTTATTGAGGGCGGCTCCTTTTTCAAAATGGGGCTTTCGCTTGAGACATCCTCGACGCTCCTGGCCAGCCTAAGAAGCCTCCAACACGCCTCAAGAGTGGCTCATGAGGACCCTCAAGAGGACTCAAGAAGCCAAACACATGCATTGCCAACGGGTCGTGAAAGATTTCAGCGTTATCGCGATTTCGGTCTTCCGATGCTCCAAAACGCCCCAAGACCTCCAAGGTCGCCGCAAGACGGCACACGAGGCCCTAGAAACGAGCCCAAGAGAGCTCAAAAAGAGGAACGCGAAGGGTCTCTTGAAGCCCTCAACCAACGAGCCCAAGAGGCCCCCAAGACGGCCGAAACGGGCACAAGAGGCCTTCAAGAGGCCCCAAGAAGTCCCATGAGGCCTTCAAAAAGCCCCCAAGAGGCCCCCGAGAGCCCTCTGAAAGTCCCCAGCAAGGCATCCCAAGAGACGCGAACATGCATCCGAAAGGCCCCTGATACACAACGCAGGCAAGGTGGCGGGGTGGGCCGAAGGCCTCTAGAGAACTAACTCCTCCCTGCCGCGTCTTCAAGCGTGTCGTTGGAGCGGTCCGGCCGCTTCGCCTGAGACCTCCCAATCGTTTACGATCTTGCGGCTTGAGGTTCCCTACTGTTACACGGATGGAAGGGTCTTGAAAAGTGGGCTCTCCCCCTCGGCGCCGAGAACACTCGTCCTACTAACATCCCGCCTTTG